TTGATCCGCTTCATCATTGGTCAATTCAGCGAACTGACCACCAGTGAAGTGGATGAAGCGGACCAAGCGCATCAAGTGGACAACCGCCTCGCCATCCATTGGCCAGCTCGCTGGACTCACCAATGACGAAACGGATAAGCGGATCAAGTATGGCGCGTGCCTTACCGCTGTTCCCATAAAGTAAGTGAAATGAATGAATGGGCCTTGCAGCCTCAAACTTAAGCTTGTAATCCAGCCGGTTGATGACTTACTTCTTCTTTATCCCTAGGTGAAAAAGACGAACGAGCCACAAACAAAAAAACTTTGCTGGATGCGGATCGTCCACCACTATACGCCGAAGACAAGTGAAAACGGCAAGAACAGTAGCAATAAACAACTGTGGTAACACTCTGGTAAGAGCTTCACAGTGATGTATTGCCAAACCCTATACTGTTTCAAATAGCAACTCTCGATAGTTCTGAGGAGAATCACGACTTTTGCGCGGTATATACCTATCACATATACAGCGATTGAACCATGTCTGCGGACCTATACACATGAATATCCTATAAATGACGTTTGTTTGATTAAAGAAAAAAATCAACATGTTTATCCCAAGAATAAGCAACTTGTTGTTACAGACAACTTTGCACTATCTGAATAATTATTTAATGAGCTAAAATTCGCATACCTTATCAAGATTTCGCTGGAATATTCTATTGATGAGGGCTTCCAAGCGGGGATCCACTTTAGCATCACAACTCTTGATACTTTTGTAAGCATCGATGCCAATTTCGATGATCTTATTCACATACTAAATACATCATTTAAAAGTAATAGATAGACATGCGTCGTGAAAGTCAGAGAAAGCTAAGGCAGGCGCCCGACTTACTCGCTCATCCGCTTCGACAACTTCGCTATTTGGTCAGATCAATGAAAGTCAACTTAAAGACAGTGGACAGATAATATGTACCCTTTTCAGATTTTGGCGGAGTTAGATAGTACCCAAGTACACCGTATCCCAGACCCC